AAATGTTTGTCCACAGTTTTAGTCATTAGGTTTTGATTTCTTCCTTTGCTTCACCAAAAACTGTCCACAGTTTTAGTTATTGGATTTTGCTTCCTTCCCTTACTTCACCACATGGCTGCAAGACAAAATGGTTTTAACCTTGCGCAAAACCATAGTTGACCAAAATGGCTTTTTGAACAATGGACCATAAAAATGGCTTTTGTAACATGTAAATGCCATAGTGGCATTGGGAAATAGATTGGCCAACTTGGCTTTTGGGAACAGTGACCATAAAATGGTTTTGCAAAACATATCTGCCATAGTGGCATTTGGAAGTGGATTGGCCAACTTGGCTTTTTTGGAGTGACCATAAAATGGTGTTCCATTGGCTGGAACTCAAAGACAAACAGCCTGGGCAGTGTATGGGCCATGTGATCAACAAGCAAGATTTATTGTATTGCCAACACATTTGAAACCAGTATATGCAGTATGGCTGTCTTTATGGGAGCTTCAAAATAATGGTGTCATATAGACCATTGAAATAGACAAGGAACGTTCCTGGCCACTGAGGGGTGCAAGGTGGCCATTGGCTTCATGAAACAACTGCTCATTCTTGGAAACCTGTACCTTTCTCTTGCCTTCATCTTTGGACATCTCTATCGCTATGGAACCCTGCAGAAGGCTGGTCTGGATTCCAACACCCAGCATGGCCATGCCCTTGGTCCAAGCATCATGGTAGGACACCGCGGTCCCACCCCTGTTGTCAGGGTGGCATAGAATTTGTGATGGTTTCAGGACCACTTTGTGGGCCAACCCATGAAACTCCAACAGGTCAATGACCTGGCTGACTTTCTGGTTGATGGCCAAACTGCCATCCATCATGGCTTTCACTTGGGCAGCCACTTTCTCCACCGTGGCTGGTTCAGAAAAAGGCTTGGTACTTGGTTTTTCACATACAGATGCACCGATGGTGGACCTTGGTTGATTGCTGTTCTTCTTGGATGTGCCATTTCCTTAATTTGTGGAAACAGCAGCACCATTCAAAAACATCAGCCTATAGGTGTTGTCAATGGAAACTGTGGATTGATAATGGTTCTTCTTGCTTTGATGATTATTGTAACAATGGCCATGTGTGGATTTTTGTGACGTTTATTCTTTGTGCTTTTTAGGCCAAACATTGGCTTTTGCAATCCTTGGCTGCAACTTGTCTTTTTGTTGCCACCACTGCTGTGGTCACCTGTGGCTTCAGCCTTCCTTTGCGGTCTTGTAACCTCTGCTGGGTTGGGCAAAGGCAATTTGGCAGCCAGCTCTCAAATGGCAAATGACTTCTCTCAAAGGTTCTGGCTCCATGGCACTTGGTTGGTCTTTGGCCACCAACCAAACACTTGTCACCTGCTGCTTCCATGGCTTTGGCTTTTCTTTTTTTGGTGCCTTTGTTTGCTGGCATCTCTGAGTCAAACAATTCTTGGCCTTCTTGGGTATCTTCTTCTGGTGCTGCCAAAAGTTCTTGGATCTTGTCATTCCTGGCTTGGACCAATGTTTGCAATTCCTTGCTCTTGGCCAAGCTGGGGTTCTTAGTGGGCAGCTTGCCACCACAAACCAGTTGGCAAATGGCATAGTTGGTGGCACTGATCTTGAGGAACTTTTGGCCTTGGTGCTCCTCAACCAAGTCTCTCACTGGCTTCTCCTCTTGGTATGTGATTTGGCAGCGGTAGGAGATGTCCACCATTGCTGGCTGCAATTTGCTGGCACTGGAGTTGGCAACTCTGGTTCCTAAAAAAAGGGGTATAATGCATGCCCACAGAAAAATTGAAACCAAATATGGCCAAAACATGGCTTTTGTAGGTTGTGACATGTCATGCAGAATGTGCCACAAAACATGCATTTCTGTTTTGACAAGCTTTTGCATGTCCACCAAAAAGGAAAATCATTTTTGAAAATGTCAAGAACAAAAGAAGTTCAGGAAATAAATATGCTCAATTCAGCAACCAAAAACCAGATATAATTTGTTGTTGTTTTTTGTTTGGTCCGCGCATATCTACTTAATGCAAATAATATACAACCACATCATCATTTTCTGGCAAATGAAAATGAGCTAGATCAAGCTCAAAAAATTATACAGAGTTAACATGAGTTAAGTTAGTTACATAACTTCATCAGAAAGTTACTAACTAACTTAACATATTTTAAAAATCAACACTAGTTGTACATAGTTAAAACCTAGTTATACTTAGTTAACACATAGTTGTAACGAGTTGCTAATTCACATAAGTGACCATAATTATGTTAACTCATTGTAACAAAACAAGGATCTCAAGTAAGGGCGTTGGCACAGGACGCGTGCCAACTCTTTTGACGCTAAACGCTTCATTCGAGTGGAACCTTAGCCCCGGGCACCCGGATGCCGTGAGCTCAGTGGCGCTTGAGCGCAACGTCTTCATCTTTCCCCATCTTCAAATCCCCCCATGTCCTCTCTACATCTCTGTCTCTCTACCTCCAGCATCTCTCCACCCACCCATTCCAGCTAGCCATCCATCGGCCTACCTACAAGCGCGCCCAAAATATCGAGAAGAATCAATTCAAACAAGGGAAAATGCCTTGATGGCTACCCAACCGGCTGAAAAACCGCAAGCAGACCTGAAGCAAAACATGGACAACGGTGAGGGCGAAGAAAAGGAATACGGCGAAGCAGCTGACGAATCTGTTGAAAACGTCGGCTAACAATGAAAACGTGTGAAAACCTTATGAACTTAGTGGGCCGAAAGTAGGTCTACAATGCGAAACTCACCGAGAACTCACAGCGGTGAAGAAAAGAACCTGTTGTCGTTGTTTGCCACAATCAGGCTGGGTTCACTGTGCGCAGCCAAATGGCCCCAACTTTGTCCTCTCTTCCTGTCACCGTAAGAACCCTGTAGGAGATATATAGAGAATACATATATACCATGCAGGTGACAGAAACAGATGACAAGAAAAAGGAGAAAGCCCCAAATCCTTAGCTCAAGGTCCTGGCCAGAAAACCAGGTTCGGAGAGGTTTACGAAATTTCAGTCTTGATGATTACGTTCCTATATATTCTTCAAAAACATGCTTTGCATCTTACTGGGATGAACTGTGGGTGTATAAAGGTTAGTAGGGTGTATTTATGACATACTTAGATATATATATATGGTACAAGTACGGTATAACATGGTATACTATAGTATAACTTCTAAACGTTTAGCAACTTGAAGTCATAAGAACGTAACATCATTTATGCTAAGTTTTACGACCATGTAGCATACTTATAAGTAGTTATAAGTAGTTATGACAGTTTACAAGCAGTTTTGTAAATGGTTATAACTTGGACCTGTGAATGTTATAACACTTACAACTCACCTCATTACTTCTAGTAACTGCTTTAAACCCACGGTTCATCCCAGTAGGTGTTCGACAACTCTCTTCGCGATGTCAGTATGCATCGAAACAGACTTTAACAAATTCATTGTCATACAAGCGGTCTTTGTGAACTGAGACGTCTCCTTCAGGACTGTGTTCGGGTTTGACCCCGTTGCGGGTCACTGTAGTCACTGCGACTAACAAGTCACGACGGGTTATGGGTGAGTCGCGAAAGGCTTTAGGGTGACAGCAGCAAAAACTAAAAGAACACAATTTTACTAGTTCGTTTGCTTGGTTTTCCCTTTATGTGAAACAAAACCCAGTGAGAAGTTGACTCCGCTCCACAAAAACACACACGCGCCAACATGAGTCATGAGTTGTTGACGTGGAAATCAAGCGCATGGAGTCACGAGGAGTGCTGTTGAGTCCCGGGTGGTCAAACTCAAGAGCTGGGCTGTCCGTCGACCACCATGGAGAGCACAACGATCACGCTGAGCGTCATGACCTGACACGTACATTTCCACAAGAGAGCAAACACAAAGTTTAAAGACAAATTCTGCGTTGAATTTCGTTCCAGCGTTGACAGTTTTCCAATAAGTTTACACTTTTGCGTGTTCCACTTTGCGGCGGCGAGTCTCTCGCTGTGACATTGAGGGCCCCAAAGTTTAAGTCCATCCTCAACGACGTCGCCAAGCGGAAGATGTCGAATCGCAATGGAACATCGGGAACGACCAGTGATTCGAACGCTGACAACGAAGGCAACACTTGCTTTACTTTGAGTGGCCCCCACCTCTATATGACTCTGAAGAAGTCTACAGGACGATATAGACGTCAAAATGGCTCCAAAGACGTCTACATGAGCGTATGGCTTTATACACGTCTATATGAGTTTACAAACGTCTACATTCTTAGTCTTTGAGCGGCTGGGGGTAGTCATGTTGGGGTGTGAAACCGAAATTGCGAAGTTGTTCTGGCAGTGCGTTTGCATCTTCTGCCCTTCTCATCTGGCTGAAAGGCATCTTGCTCTAGCAGTGTGCGCGCATCGTCTGCAGCTTTCTGATTTGGACGAATGGCAGCTTGCGCGGCGAAAGGAGACGATTGGGCGTGGTGGGAGGGAGCAATGTGCGCCGTCACCAAGACTGGACCCACCTCCCTGCGCCAACTTCTTCAAGAAAAAAGCGCAATCACCTTCAGTGAGCTTTCCCTAGACCTTCCTGTCAAGCGCTGAGTGCCTATTGGTTCTGGCGTCAAGTTGCGTTCTGACATATCTTTCAAGCATAAATGGTGGAAAATGTTCTGGAATGTGTCCCTAAACGTCCTTTTTGGCGTGTGTTCTGACATGCGCCGCGTCGTAAAATCGGACATGTGCTCTGACTTATCCTCTGGATCTACGTCTGACATGTGTCAAGTTGCAGATGTAATCTGAATGCGTTGAGGCATTTATGGTCTGACTTTGGTTCTGTTGTGCGTTCTGACGTGTGTTATGATATATATGTTCTGTCGCCAAACAGAGGTCTAGCGCGCAGCGCTCGCGCAGCCGCCAAAGCGGTGACATATAGAATCTAGAGACTCTCGGTTGACAGGAGGGAAAAACTTTAAACATTTAATTAACGACAAAGCAAAGAAGATACATCGTTTTGCTTGTTTGTTGAGCGTTTTTCTCAGATGGTTGCGGGCGGTCGATGCACCACCCCACCAGGACCGAAAAGGGCACCACAAAGAGCGCAATTTGCCTACGCCGTCAATCCAGTTCTAAAGAACAGCGTTCATCTGTCAAAACATGTGCGACAAGACGCGCTTCAACTAGTAACTAGACGCTACTAGTAGCTAGGGGCGTCGCTACTAGTAACAAGGGCCTCGCTACTGTAGGCACAAGGGCATCGCTACTAGACTAAATTAGTAACACGGGCATCGCTACTAGTAACGCATCGCTACAAAAGTATCAAGAGCATCCATGTATCCAGGGCATCGCTACTAGAAACAAGGGCGCTGCTATTGGTAACAAGGGCATCGCTACTAATAGCAAGGGCATCGTTACTATAGTAGCAAGGGCGTTGCTACTAGTAACAAGGGTATCGCTACCAATAGCAAGGGCGTCGCAACTATTAACAGGGGCGTCGCTACTAATAGCAGGGGCGTCGCAATTCTGGTAACAAGAGCATCGCTATTCTATAGCAACAAGGCATCGCTGCTATATAGTACCCTTAATAAGCGAAAAAATTGTTTTGCCAACCGTAACATTTACGTGGTTTTCTTGTTTTAACTAAGGAAATTTACGTACAAATTACGTAAAGGTAAATGTGAATCCCATTCAGGTAAAAAAGTAATTTCTAAGTTCATGTTTAAGTTTTTGTAACCGTGATTTTGGATCAGAAATAATCTCAATTTATGTCAGCTGACTTTGTCCAACCAGGCAAGTTTTCTACAGGGCAACATGTACTTGAGGATATTTGCGCTATGGATTTTTGTTTTTTGTTGACTGAGCGTGCCAGGTGTTAACTTTTCCTTTACTTGAAGGGAGGGCATTCACTAGAGCATGTGTACCCTTCTTGACTTGAGGGTGTCTACTTGAACGATGAAATTTACTTGAGGATATGAACATTTCACTTGAGGGTATTTATCTTTCTGATGAGAGGCCATTACTTGAGGTACAGCCATGAACTGCTGGCTTCTTCTTCGGCTTTGTTGTCTCTTCACTTGCCGCTGCCTTTTCAAAGGACCATTCTGGGCCTTTGCCGTTGACTTTGGCTCGCCCTTTTGCTTTCGCCTTGGGAATCATTGCTTTGGGACTTGCTGCAGCCTCAGAGACAGCCTTGTCTTGTATATCTGGTGGTGTTGCTTGGCCCAATGGAACTTCACCCTCCGCCATGTCGACAAAGAAAGTTAAAGCTAATGCGCGGTATCCTTTCAAAGGTCTTTGAGATCAATCTAACTACGAGCGTAAACAACAACCAACAAGCAAGCTGTCCAGAAAACTCTCAACAACTTTGACTTTAACAACACACAATGCTGATAAACTGTTCCTGCAAAATCGATTATGAAACCCGCAAAAACCCTAGGTGTGTTCTTTGCTGACAAGATGATGCAGAACATTATAACCTTTCTTAAAATCTGGCCAGAACCTAAAAAGAATTTGTCCTCCTGATGTGCTGTCAAAAGTGTATACACGTTTGATGAATAGTGTGTGTACACATTTAGGAAAGAGAGCAAAACGCTGTGGGAGTGCACTTTTTTTGCTTTTTGTACTTTCTGTTTGCTGGATTTGCTCTGTTTGCTGATGACATGACATTGATGGACTGTGAACGTTGTAGTTTTGCAAGGCTCCATATATTTTCTAATTCAGCTTGAACTCACAGTTTATCTAATTCAAACTCAATTGTTCTAATTACTATCAGGGACAGCCAGTTAGAATACGCTGTAAGTATTCAAATGCAATTAGAACATGAACAATTTAAACCCAGTATCTTTTTGTTGTGCGCAGTTGGAATATGTTCTTATGACTGTTGATGGTTCTTTATGTTAGGCAACGAGTGCAATTTCAATATGCCTTATGGAGAAGAGACGGCCGAGAAATTAGCAGCCGATAGCTGCAGATTTGATGCGCAACCTTGAGGTCTGGATTTTTTGTGTTGTTGTCTTGTTTTTGTTGATGTTTCTAAACAAAATTTTGAGCCAAACAAGCAAAAAAGTACTAATTCTTGGTGGCCTTGGGGTCTGGGATTTAGCTTGTTGTTTTTGTTCTTTGTTGATTTCTATTTATGTCTTCCTGGCTTTGGTGTAAACCAAAAGACCAAAAACAAAAAACAACATATTAAGCCAAACAAACCCAGAGTAATAATTCTTGGTGGCCTCGGGGACTGAGATCTTTTTGGTTTTTGTTTGATTTCTCTTTATGTTTTCCCGGTTGATTTGAATACTTTTCAGCATTATTTTGACCAATGTAAAGCCATTGCAGTCAATGCAGATGCGCTAAGCAGAAATTGCCAATGGCTGCAAAAAAGTAAATGACTTGGCCTTTGCAGATGCGCCTGGCAGAAATGTTGGAATACGTATGTAAGTATGATGAAATAACGCACTCCCTGGGTGTCCCCTTCTGTTGGTGAACAAATTACATAAGTGCGTCAAGAATTCATCAACAATTCATCTCAAATTTTTTTGCTTCTTTGAGCAACATTTCACAAGTAAATACCAAATACATTACAACTCGCAAAAAAACTAAACACACAGTTCCAAGTTGAATGACATCCTCATGTAAAGGATATTTACAAAAAGTCTCAGCCTGAAGTATTGCAATGATTTCTCAAGTGATTTCTCAAGTGAAACCACATCCTCACGTAGAAGAACTCTCAAGTGAATTCGCATCCTCAAGTAAGAGCTTCTCAACTTCTCAAACAAATCACATCCTCAAGTACTGTAAAAGCTTCTCAAGTGAATTCACACTCTCAAGTAAAAGCTTCTCAAGTGAAGTCATATCCTCAAATGGCGCACAGTGCAAAGAAAGTGTTTGTTGTGTTGGAAGGAACAGTTGACGTTTTTTGCGCTCATTTTTCTATTGCTTTCTTTGAACCGTTCTTTGTTAGGCGGCTTTTTCATTTGCAAATCAAAAAACCATGACCAGACCAAAAACCTCAGTGAAGACCAACCTGAATATATATATATATATATTTTGTACCAAAATCTAACTTACCAAGTACAAGCCACAAGCTAAATTCATCAATTTTAGAAACGATAAATTCGCTGATTTCCGTGACTTACGGTAACAAGGGCGTCGCTACTAATAGCAAGGGCGTCGCCGCTATATAAAAAAAGGGCATCCCTATTCTAGTAACAAGGGCGTCGCTTCTCTAGTAGAAAGGGCATCGCTACTCTATAGAAACAAGGGCATCGCTACTCTGAAGTAAACTCTATATAGAACCAGGGCATCGCTACTCTAGCAACAGGGGCGTCGCTATTATACTCTAGTAACAAGAGCATCGCTACTCTGGTAACAAGGGCATCGCCACTACTAACAAGGGCGTCGCTACTAGTAACTAATAAGGGCATCGTTACTAGTAACTCAAAGCACCGCTACTAGTAGCTAAGGGCGTCGCTATTAGCAACAAGAACACTGCTAGTTACTAGTAGCTGCACCTAGCTGAACTCAAAACCTAGACACGTCCCCTGGGGCCGGCGCGTCGACGAGCCCACAGCAATGCCGATCGACAGGCCGGGTTTGTCCTCGACTCGCAGCGCGACCGAAAAACCCGGAGAGAGGTTGGCCAGTTGGCGCTCTCTCTCTTCGACTCAAACCGTTGGAGCTGTCTGCGCCGCCACAGTGACTTGAGGTACAAGGCGGGGCGTGGTGCAAACATCGGCGCAAACATAGGTGGACCAAGGCTTGCGCAACGTGAGACATCATGACAAAGTGGGAATACTTTCTTGAAGGGTGTGAGTGACGGCTTCAACGCAGTGCCTTGCCTCTTCGACGTCCACATTTCCTGGGCATCATACCTGTCTAGGCCGTGGACGCCATATTGGCGCCAGCAATGCGCAGCTTTGCGCGCGGCTGCGGTCCAAAAGGCTTCTTTGAGCTTGAGCAGTGTTGGCCGCGTTAGATTACTCTCGCTGGCACTGACCATTCACGATTGCAACGCAAGCTTTGGCCACATTCTGCAAAGACTTTCAGCAAAGCTTCACGAATGGTTTTGGCCTTCTTCGGCGCTGCTGATTGCTTGACTCCTTGCTCGGTCACGCCACTGTCCACTTGTTCTTGAAGGCTTGGCTCCTCCTTGCGTCTGAAAAAATCGTTGAGCGCAACCCGCATTGCTGGGCCTGGCGACGAAAGTGAAGCCTTGATCCAATCTTCCCTGTGTGGCCCTTGCCGACGGCACGTCCTAATTACTTGCTTCTCTCGCTTCCCTTCGCCCGTTTGCTGCCAGAAACAAATTTGCGCGAAGCCTTTGTCCGTTCCAGCTCTTGCCTTTGTACTTATTTTGAGTTTGCCTGCGCCGCCAAGTGATTGAATGAATGAGTCAGTGCAGCGAGCGAGGCAGGAGAAAAGGGACATACAAGAGCCTGCGAAAAAACGCCGTCGCTACATTAGTATCGTCGATCGGCAATTTCCTATAGCTTCTGATGAATCGCGCGCGGCCGGCCCCATTACTTCTTCTGCTTTAGTTCTTTCCAACGGGGGGGCAGGCTATTGGCCCAGGTTGGTGGACCATAGTTGCAGACTGAGGGCGATCTCTGCTGACCGTAGTGTGCAGAGCGGACGCAGCTCAAAAAACGCATCCTTTGCGCCGTCGGAGTCACCAACTTCCACGGGCTTGAAACCGACGCGGAGCCTGTTCTCTCTTGGCGCCACGGAGCGCGGCCAGCGCCTCTTGTCTTGGAAGACCAAATGTACGCAAACAAAAACAAATTTCACAAACTTTCTGCGCAGGTCCTTTTGCCCAAGAGGCTGGTACCTTCTCTGCTTGCAAGCCTGCTTGGCACGAGACACAGGTGACCAGATGAGTCAGGGGAGCAGCGCCGACGCGTGTACACGCAACCGCTATACACAGGGTTTCAGCGACAATGCGTTGACACTGTCAAAGGAAGTTTAGTGATACACCACTCATCATACACCACTCATCATACACCGCTCATCAAACACCACTCATCATACACCACTCACCATACACCACTCATCACGCACCACTCATCATACACCACTTATCACGCACCACTCATCATCCAGTTAGCTCTAGTTTCAAGAGCTCTAGCTCCATTTAGCTCTAGTTTCAAGAGCTCTAGCTCCAGGTAGCTCTAGTTTCAATAGCTCTGGCTCCAATCCACCTTTAGCTCCAGGTAGCTCTAGTTTCAATAGCTCTAGCTCCAGTTTTCGTGGCAGGCACAGCGCTTTGTGAACCTCCATGCGCAGATTTTGTGGCAGGCGCAGCACTTTGTGAACTGCAGGTTTCGTGGCAGGCGCAGCACTTTGTGAACCTCCATGTTCAGAATTCGTGGCAGGCGCAGCACTTTGTGAACCTCGAGGTGCAGCTTTCGTGGCAGGCGCAGCACTTTGTGAACCTCCATGCGCAGCACTTTGGCACGCACAGCACTTTGTGAAGCTCAAGGTGCAGATTTCGTGGCGAGAACAGCACTTTGTGAACCTCCACGTGCAGATGTTGCGGCAGGCGCAATACAAAATGCGTTTCGAGAGATAGCGGACGAACGAAATGCTGTGTTTTTCAATATAAAGGGTCTCGGGTCATTCTCGGATCATTCTCGGATCATGCTCGGAATCGTCCCTCCATTGTGGTTAGAGTTTTCACTTGTTTCTTGAAGCGCAGGTTTCGTGGCAGGCACAGCACTTTGTGAACCTCCATGTGCAGATCTCGTGGCAGGCACAGCACTTTGTGAACCTCCATGCGCAGATTTTGTGGCAGGCGCAGCACTTTGTGAACATCGAGGCGCGGATGTCGTTGCAGGCACAGCTCTTTGTGAACCTCCACGCGCAGGCTGAGAACTGGTGACTTTGTAGTAGAACTTTAGTGCGCGGAGTAGGTTGGGGAGCTGGAGGCTGAGAACTGGCGACTTTGTAGTACAACTTTGGTATGCGGAGTAATCTGGCGAGGTGGAGGCTGAGAACTGGCGACTTTATAGTACAACTCTAGTACGCGGAGGAACCTGGGGAGCTGGAAGCCGAGAACTGGCGACTTAGTACAACTTTCGTGCGCGGAGCAATCTGTGGAGCTGGAAGGTGAGAACTGGCGACTTTGTAGTGCAACTTTCGTGCGCGGAGTATCTGGCGAGCTGGAAGATGAGCAACTTTAGTACGCTGAGCAGTCTGTGGAGCTGGAAGCTGAGAACTGGCGACTTTGTAGTACAACTTTAGTGCGCGGAGTATCTGGGGAGCTGGAAGATGAGAACTGGTGACGGTGTAGTACAACTTTAGTACGCGGAGTATCTGGGGAGCTGGAAGATGAGAACTGGCGACTTGGTAGTGCAACTTTAGTACGCGGAGCAATCTGTGAGCTGGAAGCTGAGAACTGGTGACTTTGTAGTACAACTTTAGTACGCGGAGTATCTGGGGAGCTGGAAGCCGAGAACTGGCGACTTAGTACAACTTTCGTGCGCGGAGCAATCTGTGGAGCTGGAAGCTGAGAACTGGCGACTGTGTAGCGCAACTTTAGTGTGCGGAGTATCTGGGGAGCTGGAAGATGAGAACGCGCGACTTTGGAGTTAGTCATCTCTCGCGGCTGAGTCATCTCTCGCGGCTGCTCTGGCGCCGCTGCAGCTGAGTCATCACTCCCGGCCAACCGGCTCTCTTGAGAGGTTGACAAATTTTAGCCAATCTGCTTTCTTAAAAGTTCTCATTTCGATTACTGTCCGTTGAGACAAGCTATCACCTCATAGTTATAACGTCTAGATCAACAGCTCTAGCTCCAGTTAGCTCTGGCTTCAATAGCTCTAGCTCCAGTTGGCTCTAGTTTCAACAGCTCTAGCTCCAGTTAGCTGTAGTTTCAACAGCTCTAGCTCCAAGGTGGCGCTGTGTTGGTCAAAAGTGCGGAGAGCGTGCGTCTGGCTGAGGGACACGCATGTTGGCTGCTGCAAGGTGTTCGTGTGTATTGTTGTTGCGTTTTGCAAGCGCCGGTTTTCTACATTCCGCGGCTGTTTTGGTTGCTCGACGTCGAACACAACACTGGTCGCAGATGATTTTGTTAACAGGTCAGTTTGTACTTTTGATTGCGCATGACCAGTGGCTTCAGCACGCCGGTGTCGGCTGCTGTTCTTGCTTTGGCGTAGACACAACCCAGTACACTGTTGCGAGCTGCTGATCTTGCGCAGACCTTGCACAGGTGGGGCTGCGTTGGTCAAAAGTCCGGAGCGCGTGCGTCTGACTGAGGGACACGAGGGACACGCATGGTGGAAAGAACTGGCGCACTCCTATAGGTCAATTTGTTCTTATAGGAAACTTCCGCAGCCGGCTTGCCCGGAACTGCTTGTACCAGTACATACATATACGCATAAATGCCCGTATACATGTTTTAACAAAAAACTGGTTCATACTAAGTTCATACACATGTGAGAATACCGCGAATCAAAGCCAGGGTACCTTGGTCGCCCTAGACCCGGAACGTGTTGGGCGTAAGGGCCGACCAAAAACAGAATTGCGCAGCGCAGCTGGCGCCGCTGCGCAAACCTGACACGTCACTGCGTCCTGCATGGCAAACCGTACTGCCGCAGCGTGCTCACAGGCGTTGCCAACAATGGGCAGTAGGATGATGCCTATGAAGTGTTCGCCTCGAGAATGAACTCTCGGGATGCTCCTCTGCTATCGACGGTTGAATCAAACTGAGAACTCCACCCATGTGGGCGTCTGCGGTCATGTTCTCTATGGAGTCCACCTGGGAGCTTGTCATTTCACACTCAAAGTGCAGTTCGGTGGATTGGGATACACCTATCTTCTGCAACCGCCTTTTTTCAAGGGCTTGGGTTTAGTTTGTTTCGATGTTTTTCCCCAAGCAGTGTGGTCACACAAGGGGTTCTTACGGTAAGTGTTAAGGGCCATTGTTGAATCGAGGTGTTGCGTCGGGGCGTCCGGCTAGTTCGTTGCTATGCTGCTATGTACAGCGCATTCACGCCTCTCGAAATCCTCGAAATGTATTTCGACTGCGCAGGCTCGCGAAATCTGCGTGGCTAGAGCGGGCGCTTGGCGCGACTGCGCTCTCGTTGTGGCGCCGCGCGCATTTTCAGACATGGTGGTAACTTTTCGCGGCAGTCGCTGGGGAAACCTCGTGTTTTGGAAACTTTTCATGACAAGCGCAACGCAAAGGATCGGAGCAGCGTTACTTCGAAATGCAGATTGACCCTCCAGAAGGGCACAAGACACTTCCCCAAACCAAAGTTGACCCTCCAGATGGGCACCCTTCTCCAGGTCACCGTTGTTCACAGGAAAACGAAAATCACATTGAATCACCTTTGAATCATTTTAAATCTTTTTTGAAGCTTATAAAATCCTATTTGCGCACTTGTTTGCTTTAAAAGTGCAATACAGCGATTAAAAACAATTTGAAATGAAAAGTGTTTTTGTCACTTTTGTATCTGAACGTGAGGTTCTTTAAAAAATGCTTTGGTTTACTGTGTTTGAAAGTCGGCATTTCAAGTTATTATCATTTTGCTACGAGTTTTTTTTGAGGATTTGAGGGTCTACTACTATTCCCTATAGATCGGGTTAGACAATTTTTAGGGTTTGAGACAAAAGACAATTTTTTAACTATTTAAATAAAAAAAATTGCCTTAAAGTTAATTTTAAAGATAAAATCCAAGTCAATTTTGAAGTCAATTTTGGTGTTTGATGCCAAAAAAGAAGACATTCAAGTGCTTGATCAAAGGCATCTGTGTATAGGGTTGAAACACAAACCATGCATTTGCAGTGGGGAATTCTTTGTGCATCCATGTCTTTCCTTTAGGATTATTGGTCTCCAATCGTGTGGGTTGCAATGGTGTTTTGCACAGCCCATGTCCTTTCTCTAGGATTATTGAGATCCAGCTGTACTACATGTTGTTGTGGGTTTATAAAACTGCTTTTGCTTCCAGCATTTTTCTGGCTAGGATTATTGCACGGCCATTCATCCAGTGCACTGTGTTTGGTGCTGTTTGGCTTTGCACAGAACTGTCTGAGTGGTGTCTTTTTGTTTGCCATGAAGCGCCTGACACCAGACCCCAGTGTGAGCATAGCTGACCTGATGGAGCCTTTCGATAAAATGTTTGCAGAAGAGGGGTCTTTTGACTTGTACAAGCTGCTCTTCCCTCCTTGCAAGAGCAAACCAAAGTGGAAAAGTGCCCCTGATGCAGAGTGGATGGGACAAAAGCACATCTCCAGGCTCCTGTGGAGATTGTTCAAGATTCACAGCAATGGGGTGATGGCTTCCTCCAAATTGAAAAGTGCCATACACAAGATCCAAATGACCAAGCAAAGGCTGAACTTCAGCAGGATGGATGACCCAGATTGGCTGAATGATTGTGATGATTTCATACGTATCATGGCTGCACATTGCAGAGACCTCAAGAAGTCTGAAGACAAGTACATTCGATGCATGAAGAAGGCTAGCAAGGAGGAAAAGGAGAATTTGGACAATGCTTTGTCTATGTTGAAAAATTTGGAGCCTACCAGCACTTCTACAGATGATTTGCCTGAAGCTTTGCAGGATTCTGCCTTGCAGAGGAAGTCTAGCTCTCAGGATTTGAGAGTGGCAGGTTCTGAAGCAACCTTTTCTTTTGAGGTGAGGAGCCGGGTCTTTGCTCAAGTTCTATCTAAGCAGTCTTCAGACCCTCTGAGTCCAAACAGAGGAGGTGGCCAAGCTACCCAGGCTTTGGCCATTGCAGATGCCCAGCCTGATGCAGCAATGCCTTCTTCATAGGTGGTGGCAGAATGCTCCAAAAGCAAAGTTGCTGCAAGCGTTGCTTTCAAGAGGTCCTATGAGCAGCTGGCATTGGGGGAGGATGAGCGAAAAGAGTTGCAAGCCTGGATGGGCTGTCCCTTTGAAGATGGTTCAGTGCCTCAAAAGAAAACAAAAGAAGAAGAGCCAATCCTCAAAGCCCAGGAAGGAAGAGAAGAAACCAGCTGCAAAAGGTGAAGGTTCCTCTGGGCAGAAGAAGAAGAAGCAGGCCTTCTACAAAACCACTTCAAGACACAGGGCCACCTCTGATGCCTGGCACCAAGCTGCGAGAAAGGCCAGGAAGGCTGGCTACTCTGCAGAGAAAGTGAAGGAGCTGGCCAAAAAGGCTTCGCAAAAAGTTGCCAGAGAGCTTGACCAGCAGTAGGTGTGCCCACAATGCGCTGTGGCAGAGCTAGTTGAGCTAGAGGTGGAAAAAATGCTATTGGCTGCCCATGTCTGTGTTTAGGGTTTTTGTGGCTGAGCTTCAACCTATGTGTGTTATATGAAATAGGAAAAAACTTTTCTACATGAGGCATTTTTGGGGCCCTTGTTCTCCTCAGTGTTTTATGGGATTATTTTGGCCTGGGTTCTTTAGGATTATTTTGGCCTGGGTTCTTGCAAACATGTGCCTTGTAGGCACAAGAGATTTGGGCAGCCTTTGACACTAGAATTATTGTGGTTTAGCATTTTGCTACCAGAGTGAAGGAGGGGTTAGGATTATTGTGGCTGCATAGCTGTGGTGCACTAGAAAGCCTCTCTAGGATTATTGGTGCCCATGCATTTACCGTTTGTGTTTCATTTTTTAGAACTGGCTCACCTAGGGCAGTCCAAACAAGTACAAGCATAGCAGCAACTATGTTTCCCAGTCCACCTCTTACCATTTCAGCAATCACAAGGTTGAAGCAGCAACTTCTCCAGCACCAATGCCCACAATAATGCAACCCAAAAAATTGCTAATGACATCTACAATCACCATTTCTAACAGGATTATTTCGCCTGTCCTCTGAACATTAGGATTATTTAACCAATATTTGGAGTTGGGATGTGAATGCATTTTAGGATTGTTTTGTGTGTCATCTAAACTGATTCACTGCATCAGGAAACCAAAGAAAGGAAAAAATGAAGATGAAGGTGATGAGGCTGGCATGTGAAAATCATGTTTGTTCCAGTTTTCATTTTGGTATTGGCAGGCCTGAAGGATGCTGGAACCTGAAGTGCAGCTGTGGAGACTATAAGTCAAGTGCAGGAAAAGAAATATTAATTATACTTAATAAATATTACAAAAAAGCGCCACTGTTTTTCAATTATATATATCTAGAAGACTTATTTTTCAATTATATGGTATTGCTTTATATTTTTCAAGAACTGAAGTCGCATTCAGGGGACACCACTTCAGAAGATAGCCCATGTCAGACTTGTGCCTTCAAAAACTAATCAAGTTTTGAGAAACAGCAATGTTTTTTAGACAAAAAATACTTGACAACAGGTTTCAATACTCATGTTTTGCTGAAAATTTGATTGAAAAAGCGTATCACAGTGACAATTTGTAGACATTTTGATTAAATTTTGCCATTTGAAATTGACACTTTATTGACACTTTCACAAAACTGTCACTTTTGAAAGTGACAGTTTATTGAAACTTTCACAAAACTGTCACTTTTGAAAGTGACAGTTTATTGAAACTTTCCTATTGAAAGTGACACTTTTGTGACAGTTTTTTGAAAGTTTAAATTGAAACTATTAAACTTTCAATAAAGTGTCAAAAACAAAATAAACTAACAAAAAAGTAACACTTTGTGAGTGAAAGTTTGGTGAAAGTTTCGATAAACTGTCACTTTCAAAAGTGATAGTTTTGTGAAAGTTTCAATAAACTGTCACTTTCAAAAGTGACAGTTTTGTGAAAGTTTCAATAAAGTGTCAATTTCAATAGTGGCAAAACTGTCAAAATTATTCAAAAAATACTGAAAAACTTCTCAAACCAATGATTTTTTGATTATAAACCATTGTTTTTGTTGACTTTCTGAATAATCCTAGCCAGAACAATCCTAAGAATTGAATGAACAGTTTGCACAGGTCGCACTAGGTCACTAAAAAAAACTTGACACCAGAGTTTTTTGACATACCATGGTAGGATTATTGTGGCATTGCGCATAAGGATTATTATGAGGCTGTGCTGTTTGACATACCATGGTAGGATTATTGTGGCATGGCACATTAGATTATTAGGGCTGTGCTGTTTGACATACCATGGTAGGATTATTGTGGCATGGCACATTAGGATTATTAGGGCTATGCTGTTTGAATTTGCCAGTGTTTCTGGTTCAAAGGGGTGAGCCAGAGCCACACTAGGCACTTTTTTGGTTGGACAAAGCCATGGCCCCAAGTACAAAGGCCAAGAAAGAGGGAAAAGACAAAACTGAAAAAGAAGAAAAAGAGTAAAAAGACAAAAAAGAAACATCACAAGAAGCCAAGAAAGAGGCCATTTCCTGAAGGCCAAGTATGATGTTCCTTCTACAACCACTGTTTTATTGCCTTTCAGCAAGGAAGAAGAGTTTCAGCAACTACTTCTGCCACATGAGCTGTTCTCCTGGCTGTACCACAATAGGTGGGAACATTTCAAGGCTGCTTTCATGCCTGGTGGGCAGAAGCAATTGGTGGAATTTTGGAAGAGGTTTCACAACCATCCCTGTATGGATGGAAATACAACCATTGCTTCCAGGAGCAATTGGCAAAAGACTTCTTTGCCAATATCTCTTCATGGAGACGGTGTTCCAGTGACAGCTCTTGGCAAAGTGTGGGGGAAGTGCATGGAGGTGTATTCCTGGCAAGGATTGTTGGGCTCTGGAGGCGCAAAAAACACTACTTTCATGATTTGGTGTGTGCCTTGTCTGAAGAGTGATGCCATTTCTTGTGGGTTGGATTTGTTTTCTTATGGGTGATGCATATTGTAGGATTATTTCTGCTTG